CAGTTATTTATCCAATGCTGCAGTTTTGCCTCTGTAGTGTTTTGAATTGTTCTAAAATCATATTGTCACTCATCAGTTGTTTTATTATTCTTATAGATTTTCTGTTTGGTAAAGGATAACATGAGATTTTAAGTTTATAAAAAATAGAAGGTAGATGTGTAGGTTTTCTTGTGTTTATTGGTATTTTTTAATGTAGGTAGAGCCTTTGCTATTTCTACATAATTTGGAAAAAAAAAATCTGAAAAAATTACATCTGTGTGTGACATCAGAGTTGTATAGAAGCTTTTCAGGACCTTCAAACATGCTCTACAATGAAACCAGTCAATTCCAGGCACACAGACAGTCAAACTCTGATGATGGCAAGATGCTGGATTGTAGGAACAGCTTCAGTCTGACAGAAACAGGGCTGTTGTAATGAACCATACAAACCCTTTCACCAAAATGAAAGCAGTAATATTTCATCAATTAATCTATTCAAATCAGTTGATCTTTTGTTTTGAAATGCTCCGTCTTTTTCTATAACATCACCCAGAAACATTGATGTAATACTTGTCTAAAAGTATGTTAAGGGAATTTTCATTTTATCTCTCAGGGTATAATTTAATTTTCTTCTCTGGCTCTAAAGTTTGAGATATCTTAGTTTTCTAATTTCATATTTGCTTTATTTGCTGCATAACTAGAAGTTCATCTATGTGCCATGTGTTTCTTCAATTTTTAACTTGAACAAGTCTTTTTCTTGTTCAAAATTAAGAACATAATTTTCCTTTTATATTCTTAAAATAGACATTGTTTATTTTTTTGTTTGTTTGTTTTCACCAGTTCTAGTTTTGAATGTTTAAATTTTTTTGTGTCCACCATGGATCATAAAATTTAGACCCCTAGTGGATTCTGCTTTGAAGGGGCTGTCCAGACTGGAAAGTGTCATTTTGGTCATTGTCATGTCAGTGAGGTTCACAGGTCAGTCAGAACCTTTGGTCTTTGGTACGGTCTTTGCACACAATATTTCATAGATCTATGATTAATTATTCAATGACCTACACACATAAAAAAGTAATCCTGTATGAAGCTTAACCTTCTATAAGGGAAAAAATTTTATATTCTTCCTCCCTGTTGACCTGTTGGAAAAACACTCATCATTGTATTATTCAGTTGTTTTGCATTTTCAGTCTAATCTTAGTTATGACAGTGAGTGCAGTTGCAGATAGACAAGTATTTTTCTTTGTTTTCTCATGTGGACTGAGATTCAATGTTACATTTGGGGATGATCTCAGATTAAATGGAACTAGTTAGAAACTCAATTCA